TCTGTTAAACCAATAAGAAAACAATATAGGCTAAATTATCTATAACAACCACTAGATAAAGAAATAGAGATTTGATTTTCTTATGTCTAGCCAAGTGGCACCACTATCCCTCATTTTCTCCTAAATTATCTTTAATTCCTATTTATCATCTCCTCCCATATTTTATTATCTAAATATTTAAATAATATGTGAAATATTTAAAAGTTTTTGTTATTTGAATTTTATTTATTTTAAAGTTATTGCATAATGTTATATATTTTGTTATATAATAATTTAGCTATTCTTAATATGTTGTTATTTAAGAAATTTATTTATTAAAATATTTAAATAATATTTTGTTTTTATTGTTAAATTTTAATCATTTAAATAACATTTAAATTGAATAATCTGTAAAATTAAAATATATTATTTTAGTTACATAATTTCGTGATGAATTTTGTAAAAATGTAAAATTATTAATAATATGAATATTATTAAATCTACTATAATTATTTTTGGTGTTTTTAATAAATATTTTAAAGTAATTTATAATTTTTATAATTTTTAAATTTGTTAATTCAAACATTCTTTGGATAAACATATTTTTAATAATTATGTATAAATCTATTTTTGACAAGCTATTTAACAGAAAATTTTCAATAATTGTTAGAGACTAAACTACTACTATTTAACTTTTTAAATTCAATTTATTGTAGATTTTTTATAAATTTATTGTTAGTAATTATGTATTTTAGTTATAATTTATTGATTAACATTTATTAGAGATCAAACTATTATTTGAGATTACACTATTTATTGACTAATTAATATATCTTTAGTATTTATTATATTTTTGTAATTATTGTATTTTTATTATTTCTGTATTGTATTTTCATTGTAAATTTTTTTCCAATAATTGTGTACTTTCGCTATAAGTTTTTAATAATTATTGGAGATTAAACTTTTGTTATTTATTAGAGATTAGACTAATAATTTAGCTGAAATTAGGAGTGTTCATTGGTTGGTTCTGTTTGGTTTGTAAGCTGATTGACCAACCAAATCAACTTGGTCAGGTTGGGGAGTTGGTCACCCAAAACTAACTGTTAGTGAAAAGTGAATACTAGCCAACTTGGGTTGTAACGGTTTGGGTCAATTTTTAGTTTGGTTGGTTGTTAAAAAGATAAACTTAAAAATTAAACTTAAACTTTTAAACTTAAATTTAAAATTTAAATTTAAATTTAAATAATTATAGTGGTATTTAAAAAAAATAAATTTAAAAATTTAAATTTAAGATATAAAATATTTTAGACAAAGGAATATGTGAGTTTCAGACTTGCCCCTATTAAAAAATATATTTAAAATATCAAATATATGGTCATGCTAGTTCGGTTTTGGTCGATTTACAAATAGCCAAACCGAAACTGATCCAACCGACCAAAGCCGATCTGAAATATTAGAAACCGGCCAGCTCATGTTAAATTATGTCAGATTAATCAGTTTCTTCAATTTCATGAACAACCCTACATGAAATTAATTATTGTTATTTTTGTATTGTAAAAAATTATTAAAATTAGTGGGTGAGATTGGTCAATTATGTAATTTTGTGCTTTCTATAATTTTGTTCTCTTAACAAAGCATGTGCATTGCACGGGTCTCCGCTATCTATCTATATATATAGCAAGACAATCAATGTCAGCATGCCTCTCCTTGCTTCATTACCCCCTACTCATTCTTCTTTACTCTCTCTCCTCTCTCCTTCCCACCACCCCCATTAAGCCATATCACCATTCCCAACCCAACTACCTAAAAATATTCCTAGAATCTCTCTCCTAAAGGTATCTCTTTTAAGCCATTAGAAACTGTTACCCCACTCCCCAATCAATTCCTAAAATCTCCCCTCCAATCTATATCTACTCTCTCATTTAAAATATTCATATTACTTAATAAATAGTTAAATACTATTAATATTTAATCCAACCCATATCCAATAAGTATTAAATAGTGTTATTACCAAAAGTTAATAAATACGATTAGTAAATTACAAAAAATTAATGAATATTATTATTAATTAACTCATGAAATTTTAATGTAAATTATAAAAAGTTAATAAATACGATTTGTTTTTTATAACTTTGATTCTTATTTTTTAAGCTAAACAACTTGCATCCTTCCACTAGGTGCTTGCTTGATCACTATCTTCCTAAGTAATTTCAAGTAAAATACCTTGTAACCGTCGACTGTGGGTTTTGATTCATTATGTTCTTATTTGACTTTCATTTGTTGTGAGTTGGGGTTTTGATTCAAGGCTGAATTGGTTATGTTCCATTGTTATTGTGACATTTTTTTGTTGTTGGACAGGTATATATTGTATTATCTCTGGTAGACAGGTATATGTTGTATTATCTCTGGTAGATAGGTATATGTTGGTATTTGGAGTAAATTTGTGGAAGATGGTTTGTGGTTTTTCTCTCCGTCATGCAATTGATGGAAACCGATAACGGACACGATTTTCTACAAGAAAGGCACGCACGAGAGATCTAGAGAGAGAGGGTATAGAAATTGAAAAAACAGTGAGGAAGTGGTTGTGACATGCAACGAAGATTTGAGTAGAGGGCAACCGTCGTTCTTACCTGTTAGCTGCCTGTATTAGCCGAGGGCAATAAGGGAATTTTGTTCCCAACTTTTGAAGGCAGGCCAAAGGCTTTGAGGATTCAGACAGAGGAGGGTGAGCTGAGGCCGAGGACTGTAGGCCAAGGCGAGATGCTCCCTTCTGAGTAAGGTAGAAGCTGAGGACTGCAGATCGTCGGCTTGGTGATGAGGTCCCTGGAGATCCGAAGTACTGCAAAACAAGAGATGTCAGAGGCCTCGGGTGGAGATCCGACGCTCACATTAGTACAAGGTGCCAGGTGGGGGAAGGTGCAGACAAGGTCTCGGTGGTAGTCCTCGGATGCACTGGATCCCCAGGAGTAAATACTAATAAAGCAAGGTAGGTGCAAGAATTTAATTCAAGGCACTGGAAGTAAATGCGAGAACTAGATCCCTTGTCAAGGGAGAGTTATCTTATATTTATACTCGAGCGAACTGAAGGCAAGTGGAGATTAACGCACCAGATGAGAGTCGTACGAAATCAAGCGACAAGTCCTTATGAGTATGCCTAACTGCTCCATAGTTGGCTTTGTACGAAAGTAATAGGACTCCCCTCTGCTGTGGCTAGCGCTATCAGGCGTTAGTGGGCTGGGCCTGGCTAGCCCACATCACTACCTTTTTGGATGAAGTTAGCAAGCCACATCAAATGGTGGCTTGCGCATGGACCGAAGTTAGCAAGCAAAACAGCAAAGTCAGGTAGGTTTAGACTTGGGAGGGCCGGAGGATGGTTGTTGAATTTACCATGCAACTGAATTAGATGCAGAGAAAAGAGAGAAGAGTATGGGTAGTTTGGAAATCATCACACAAGAGCAGAAAATTAAAAAAAGAACAAGAAAAATGGATTCATTGTCCACTAACTATTTTCAATTTTCAATTTTTCATTTATTATATACTATTTATTTATTTCTCTTTTGTACCTTCTTCCTTCTCTTAGTTTGAATAACTATTTTTTTTTCAATTATCTTTTTTTTTTTTATTTTTACTTATGGCCCAAATTCTTGGTTGCCATCCAAATGAGGTGGCCACTTGGTATATGCTATGGGTCTATGTGAAATTATGAATAAACTACACTCATTTGTAAGATTTTTTGAGAAGACAACTTGACTATAGGATGAGTCTTGATTGCTGTACCACATACCAACACCTACTAATGGTCTTGTTTGCAGAGAGAATAAGTGGGATTGTTATACCACCTATCAATGAGTCTTGATTTGACAACCAACAGACATTAATGAGTGAAAGGTAGGATGAAGGATCAACGTTAGTGTCAACATCCAATTTTTGCTCAGTTCGCCTCCTGAACCTCTAATTTACCTTAAACACCTAATCAGATCCTTTTGATTCTTTCAAAACACCTAAAAACCCAAAAAAAAACACAACTTTCAACCCCAAAACCCTCAAATCAACCGTTAAACCAACCTAATACTTATCCGATGGCCTTAATCGACCCCCACCTACACCTCAACCATTAGATCAAACACAATCATTAGACCCAGAATCTCCCAAGGACACCTACCCATGAAATTTGAATTCAAGATTCCTTTGTTCACCCATCAATCAAGCAAAGATTTTATTTTGACCACCTACCCATAAAGTTTTAACCCTAGATTCCCCCGTTTGCCTGTTCATCAAACCAATATTTCATTCCAAAACATCCTATCCTATTAATTCAAATTCCTACGATCTTGACCCTCTAAGATTGATCAGACCTCATCATCAATCCCGGACACCCCCAAATACCCACCTGTGAAATCTCAGCCCAAAATACCTTTGTTTATCCTTCAATCGCACCAAGGTTCCATTTTGAGGTTCTAGATTGACCGAGTTACAAATTTACCTGATCCAAGCCCAATTGGCTCAATCTAACTTTACCAATTACGTCAAACTACCCAAAAATCATTCCCTGTGCAATTTGATCCAAAAAAGACATTGTTTGCCCCTCAATCACACATAGATTCTGTTTCGAGACTTCAGATTAACCAAATCGAGTCTTTTCCCGATCTTTCCAATATGGGCCCATTTGGGCCAATCCAATCCTTCCAATCAACTCAGAATGTCCGAAAACCCCACCCTATAAAATTTCAGCCAAATATATCATCATTTGCCCTTCCATATAAAACGATTCTGTTTCGGCCAATCTCCCTAGCCCACAGACACAAGACCCCGCTTTGTGGTCGAACCAATCTCAACCCTCCACTTTTTTAGACTCAAAACCACCCACCATTGGACTATAACCCCGGTTCAACCCCTGGACCCAGTTTGCCCAATTTATCGAAAATTACCAAAATGCCCCCCAAATTATCCAAAGTGATGAAAATGCCCATGTTGCTCATTATAAATTCAACCTAGGCTCTTCATCGTCCCTATGCAGAAGAATTCGAAGGAAGACACTATTCCTCTTCCCCTTCGTTCGAATAGAGTTGCAGCGGCGGCGAACCAGCGACCGAGTTCTCTGTCACCGTTCTCTCCCGATATCTCTCTATCCTTTTCCATCTGTTTCTTCTTCTCTCTCCGTTTTTTCTCTGTCACTGCCACTGCAACTCTTGGCAGCAGCGGTTCGGCCCCTCTCTTTCTCTTTCTCTTTCTCTTTCTCTCATTTCGCCCTCTCTCTATCACTGTTTTCTCCAACCCCACCGCATTCCCCTCTCTTTTTCTCTCCATCGAACTGAAACTTGAAAAATCACTCAGAGTATACTGTTCACATTCTCCTTCATTCGCACCGAATAGGGGCGACGGTGGCAGAGACAAACCACCCACGCCCGACTTCCTTCTCCACTTCTCTTTTTCTTCTTCCTCTAATCCACCAAACCCCTTCTTTACACTAAACCTACCCTCCATCAAATCACCTCCTCCCTATTCTCCAGATTGCTTCCCTCACGAACACTTCAGCAGGGCTGCCTTGTTTTGATGTCTTCGTCTATAGTTTCCCAAAGTAGTTCAGCAACGATGCCTCCCATTCTTCACCGTCGCCGGCAAGATCACCGTCTTCAACACATTAGTCGGACATCAGTCAGCATTGCTTTGGCTTCCCTTGAACAGAAGTTGTTCCCTAGTTGCAGCCATCTACTTCAAACCATAATCTAGCCGAAGCTCCCCTATTCTCTTGATCGAATTAGGCCGAAACATCTCAGGTAGGTTCTACTATTACCTCTCCATGATTGGATTCTTCACTTTTCTTCTTCTTTTTCTCTTTGTTTCTTCTCATCCCTTTTTTCTCTAACCTTGCTTCAATAGGGACTCAGGAAAGGGGGAGAAGGTCGACAGAACTAGAGAAATCAGTTCCTGAAATATTCGGCACCTTCTCCAACCTTTTTTTTATTTACTTTTTTTTTCTCTTTCCTATTTCAGACTGGGGATTGAAATAATTTGATTGGTGTGTTCCCTATCATTTACTCTATTCTTGAATCCATATGATTTAGCTGATGATTTCCTATCTGATTTTGACATCGCATATGATTTCTATTCTTGAATCCAATCGATATCAACTATATGCGGTTAATTTTAGTTGGTTATTAATCCGCATGATTTATTTGCCTGATATTCTTCATTCATATGCTTCAGGATGAATAGTTACTAAATTCGACCTCTTAAGATCGAGATCTGAGGCCCTCTTTGTTCGTCTTCTTTTTTTTTTTGTTCTAGTTATTCAATGCTTCCTTGATGCTGGGATTAGAGATGATAGATCCAAAGATGGGTATACTTGCAATGAGAAAGGGGGGGAAATAGGGGTAATTCGACCTTTTTGTAAATTAGAGGAATGGAGATGGATATGTTTGCAAAAAGGGGAAATAGTGATGAAAATAAAAAAATAAAAAGTAAAAAAATCTAAGAATAAAAAAAAGGATAAAGATAAAATAAATAAAGGATTCAAAAAAATAAAAAATATAATAAAAAGATAAAATCCAATAGAGAAATAGGGTTTCATAAGAACATAAAAAATATATAAAAATAAAAATACAAAAAATTAAATAATTAGTGGAGGATGTTTTGTGGAGTTTTGTTCTTTATTTGTTTATCTTATGTTCTCAGTTAATTGCATAATTGCCTATTTGTGTTTGTTTGCTTGAGACCTCATGTGGGCTCCACCTATTCGACCCGGGAGAGGGGTGCCTAACCCCTTCCCTCTCCCATCCAAGTCTTACCCGTACTGGTTAGCCGGTGCCTTGGGATTTGGAGTCACTATTTGGATAAAAATGATTTTGATGCCATTCTTAGAGGTCCCATCATCTCTAATTCTAAAACTAGTCGGTGGTGACTCCAAATCTAGCCCAAGTGAGCCGTTTTCCCGACATTCATAGACTGGCGACTCCACCGGAGAGTTCTTGAACCATAGGTGAGGCTTACATGGGGCCCATTTGGCTTGATAGCCTTTTCTTGTATATATGCATGCCTCTATGTTGCTTTTATTTTATTAGAATAATAGCTGCTTATTTCTTGTTAATTATTAGATAGTTGTTTATTACTTTATTTCTATTATTCTTTATTTGCTTATGCACACTCTACTCATCATCCTGCATTAGATTTAACATTCTATTGTCCTATATGAGAGGGTTGTATGCTTAAACCTCAGGACCAATGTACCCATACGCTGCACTGAAATCCCTCAATCAACCACCTACTTGAGAAGCCCATTTGTTTCGAGACCAATGTACCCGTACCTGGACGTTGCGCTGAAATCACACAACAGTGGAATGGGTGATGTGGTATGACTCTAAATTCCTAAACGAATTTCTTTATACATAGTACTTATGTGGTAGTCTCATTTCTAGTAATGTGTTTGGCTTCGGTCATTGAATCTATTGTGGACCCTTGTTTGCTTCTTTTCTAACTAACTACACAAGACTATTGTAAAGATGTATCTACATGTAGACTTTCTATTATCTAGGTCAGACTGAAATTCGGCATCAGTATATCCAACCATTTGTAGTGAACTACTATCGAAAACTGACGTGTAGAGATCACACTAGCAAGTGCACTAGCCGATCAAGTAATATAATGATGAGTAGAGTATCGTTCCCACAGGGATTGATCAAACAACTACTAGTACTGAATCAACCTTTAGTTATCTGATAAACCGAAAGATTAAACAAAGAAAACCCTAACTCCTAATTAGCAAACTACCCTAAGCAGTTTCRGATMAGACCACCTTTAATRATAAGAAGAATTACTGCATGCAAGAA